TGATGCGGCAAGGACTTTCGCCCTCCCCTTCCCCTCAGTTTCAATACGGTTCTGGGAACAGTGGACAAAAGTGCCTAAGAGATTTTTTTTGAAAGGGTATGGAGCTATGGAAACAGAATAAGAACATTTTTGATATCAAAAGTTCAAATTGTAAGTGTGAGGGCTCCTGTTCAAAGATGTTATTGGCGAGAAGGATGAATCAGAGACTGAGGTTACTCAAAAGAGCACATGGATTGCAATTGTTGATGTACAAGCAATTTAAAAGATAAGGGATGCCTATGAGGGAGCAGAAAGGTGGCTTCCTCTTCATGGCAGCAGGGAAGATCTCCAGGGAGTAAAAGTGGCTGGAGAGTCCACTGAGAAGTGAAAGACCTTATTGTACCACAAAAGGAAGCCACTCAGAAGACTGTATCTCCTGGAAAAAGAGCCAGTCACATCTGGTGGTCTTCTGGACCGCACCAGGATAGCCGAGAAACAGTTTCCTGCACCTGGTTGGACAGCTCTACAAAGGTGCACAGTCCCAGGAGCTGACCAAAGAAAACAGAAGGAAAGCAAAAAGTAAGCTCGCTTCCTCCTCTTCAGCTCCTCAACAGGCTTTTAACTTGCAGTCTCCTAAGATCCTGCTTCCTAGGAGAAACACCCATGACTTCATCCAATGAAGCAGGGACACACAAACAAACCTTGACTTCAGGAACCAAGTGACAGCGATTAACCCTTTCAGCTGTCAGATGGATTAAGACAGGAGACCTGGAAGCCATCTAAGCTGGCTCCACAAGACCTTGTTGACAGGAGATAAAACCTAAGAGAAGACAACACATGGCAGAATACCCCACGTCTTCTTACAGGAGTTGAACAGAGCCTCTGGAGTTGACCGTTTGTTGGGGAATCTTGGGGGTGGCAGATATGTCAAGCCAGAAAGTCCTACACGGACAGAATAAGAAGAAAAAAACCTTCAGCCATCCCCTTCAGAAAAAGGTACCTTTGCACCAGCTCTGTATTGGAAGATTTTTGCCTGTCCTGTATGGACATCTGAGAAGCAGAAGAGAAGATGCACTTTGCGTAGCACCTCCACAAGGTGGGGTTGCTGCTATTGAGCACACTCGGTTTCTCAGGGCCAAAAAAGCCAAAGCGCTCAACTGTGTGTGGAACAAACTCAGCACCAGTTTCCAGTCCTGGCTGCTACTGATGCCAATCAATGTTCCCAACAACATCAGAAATGAAGTGGTGCTGCTGGAAAACAACTGTAAATGGCTGATCCCAGAAGCTGATGAGAGACCAGGACTCAGCAGTGCCGCACCCTGCAACATCAGTGCCAATGGAGAGCACCACCCTCAACTGGTGTCAGAGACAAGGGGACAGCAACCTGACTCTGCCTTCACTGAGCAAATCAGAGCTGGAGATGACTTTCCTGGTGAAGAGCAACATGCGCTACATATCTGATGATGCAACATCCTGTGAGACCTGAAACTTAACAGCACCACGAAGGGTTGGTTTTGGGTTTGGTGGGTTTTATTGGGTTTGTTTGTTTGTTTTCCCCTCTCCTGAAACCATTCATGTGATCTCCTTGGACAGAGAGATGCCAAGATGGGCTCACACAGTCACACTCTGAAATCTCAGCAACTGGGAATCTATCAACTGCAGGACTGGAAGAGGCCTTCCTAATGCATACAAATAAGTAGATTAGGATCTTGCATCTCTATCTGCACCTTATGCCAAGGCTTGAATGACTTTACTTTTTTACCAAATTATTTGACCAGACAGCAGTGCTTTTGAAATATGGATTCACTAATGGATACTGGTGACACATTCTGAAAAAATACGTTTTAGGGAAGGTCATTTTACAGAAGAGCTGAAAGAGCAGGAATTGCACCCCGTTGTGTATGTCATGTCCAGAACAGCAGGAGCAGAGGACCAGAAGCATCTTCTCTAAGGATACCAGGAAAGAAAAACTTTTTGGTCTCATGTGATGGGGAACAGGTACACACACTGACAGAATATATGCGGACTTCCACATATACAGAATAGAATAGAGGGTGGCTCAAATTATAGCTTCATACAAAGCTGAATATATGCTCATTACCTTATTATGGCCTAAGAGGGAGATCTTGCAAAAATTAACCCATACTATATCGTAACACCTGACACTAACACAGTCCTGAGTGCCCGAGAACACTGCTCTGCACAGGACTGGGGTGGGAGACAAAAAAGGATTTAGCTGCTTGTGGACGTGTAACCAATTGAATTCTGATATAACTCAAGATGCGGACAGACTTCACCTAGAAGTACCGACGAAGAACAGTTAGCCCCATGGAGTTTAAACTTCCCCTCCCATCCTGCAAACACAGTGTTTGTAGCACACACCAAAACGTGAGGGATGGCCAAGATAATGGTAACAGCCAAATAGCAGATCAAAGGTCTGAGTGAGCAAATAACTCGTTAACAAGCTAGAAGCTATTACCTAACACCGCAGTACAGACCCCACTGTGACTTCCAAAGCACCCCCAGTGCTAGAAAACACCACCACACCCAGTACCTTTTCTAGTCTGGCTTAGGTCTTCAGACTCCACAAGCCAGCCTGAGGCAGGGTGATCAGGTCGGACGAGCTGCAGATGAGAGAAGGGGATTCCTTCCCAGGGGAAGTTTAATAAAGGCTTATGAACATGACCAGAGCACAGCCAGTGCTGAGCTGTGTGCTCAAGTCTGGAGACAGCAGGAGACAACTGTGGTGAGCAGGGAAGCCTCTCTAAGTGTGTGTGCACAGCAGATTTCCTACCCTCTAAACTCCTTCCTCCTCATTGCTACCTACATGAAACACTGCTGTCAGACATCCAGAAACTCATCTCCATTCCCTGCCACCCCCTCCCTTTTTTTTTTTTTTTAAAATCACAAAGCAGGCATCTGCTTTGCAGCTTCCAGTTTAGAAGCAAGTGCCTGGTTGGTAGAGGGACATTCACACGATGTTTTGAACATGGACAGAAAGGTAATGAAGAGCCACAGTTTTCAGTCATGGCAATGGCTGGGACTTGGGGGATCAGGTCAGTGGAATAACAGTCCAACATCACAGCAAATGCAGGACTAAGGCAGAGGACACCGAATGCCTGACAGAGAAGAGTCAGGATAAAGTACGATACACTAGGCAGTATGTAGAGGTCGTGCCTTCTACAGTCTAGTTCTCTACGACTTGACTTCCGCATGCTCCGCAATTCAGTTCCTGCTACACTCACCTTCCTGCCCTGACGATCTTTCCAGGAGATCCAGCGCTCCCCGTTGCGGCTATAGTCAATTCGGTAAGCACGGGCAAATTCTTTGCCTGTGGCACGGGCATGCCGTCCCTGAGTCCCAATCAAGGTGATGAAAAAGAGCTTGTGCAGGTCAATTTGAAGGAACTGTACATCTTCTGGTTGCAACAAGCCAGCCGGGCACCAGGCTCCATCCCCCTCTTCCCTTTGTAACCTGAGGGGAAAACCACGCGCATTAAAAATATGTCACTTCCAAGGATCTGGCCTTCCCAGTAACTGAGGAAACACCTTGAAACTTTGAGAATTCAGAGAAAGAAACCAAATCAACAAGTGAGACCTGACAGCTGGCTATGAAATACCTCTCCCCTTTGGGGTGATGGTCAACTGAGACTTATCAGAGTCCTGTAGCCAGTTTGCCCTGTTCAGAACAACTCCCTCAGTTTCAGGGAGTTACTTCTAACAGTTTCATTAACTGTTAGAAGTAACTTCTTTCCCAGACACATACCTTCATGTTGATCAGAAACATCTATGCTGCTACTCGGTAGGTAATTGCATACTGCATGCTTTTTAGCACCTTGCTGGTAAAGTACATACTCACTTCTCCTAAACCCCATACAGTAAGGCCCAACCTCTGCTTGACCACCTCCTACAGCTCTAACAAGCACAAAGAGGAGCTATCTTAAAAATACATTTTAGAAAGAAAAGCTCAGCCCATCTACAAATTATTCTGGGTCATCTCAACACATTGTTCACCTTTCCTTCATTCAGCAGAGTTGCTTGTGCAGGACACTGCTAGGTGTATGATGTGAAGATCTCTGCTTCAAAGTTGAGCATTGTGGTACCAGCTGCAAAGATTAAAGCTTTTATCCTCGGAGATCTCAGGCCAAGCAGAGTGCTGTAGCAAATCAGCAGGTGGAGCCACTGAAGGGAACGCTGCCTTACCTAGGCTTCTGTAGGCTCAGCTGTGCAAGCCACAAGGTGGTGAGAGTTTTAAACGTGAAAAATTTATCCAGACACAGAGACCATATGGGCTTTTTAGCAACAGGGATTTCTTAGCAAACAGCAAGCCCCTGAAGTGCCCTTGTCTTTCAGACAGCTATCCCATCTCTAACTGATGGGATCGGCGAGTGCCAACCCCCGTGCCTCAAGGAAGGCAGAACCCAGAAGGAGACGCTGAAGGTCAAGGCACAGGCTAGAGAAAATTTTTGTCTCAAATTGGTCGGCTGTTTGTGCAAGACTTTCTTACAGTGAAGTGGCAAGTAAAAGAAGTTATAAGAAAGGCAGGAAGGGTGACTGTGAAATGACAGGGACGGACATCTGCATGGGACAACTATGACCTCTAACAAAATGAGGTCAGCTAGAGGGTGCCTTCATGTCTTCACCCTGTGGACATCCAGCTGCCCTGGCAAAGAGATGATGGTAACAGATGGTAAGTGATGCCTGAAGTATGTGCAGAACTGGAGATAAGCCATACCTCAGAGAACAAAATAAGTCTCCCAGCTTTCAGACCCACAGGCTTGTTCAAATTCCATTAAAAACACACGACCCTTAGCATCTTTGCTCTACCACAGACTAAGAAAAATAAATAATCAAGCACTAGGAGAATTTTATGATTTTGGACTGCCCAAATTCATCATAAAAATATAAGTATGATAGTTAATGTGAAATTCATATCTGACTTGCACCAAAACTGTAGAAATGTAGAAACAATTCTAAGGAAACTTACACTTGTAAGTATTTTGCAAATCATCAGTTAATAGCTTCAAGAGAAATGAAATGACAAAAAAAATGAAAAGTCAAGCTTATGAGAAAGACGTAGTACTGCTTGACATCGAAAAAAAATCCTTTAGCTGCTTTTTAACAGTTCCTTAACTTTGTAGTTTCCGGGTTTTTGAGTCAAAGTGGACACAGCCCATTTCCTCAATATGATGCTGTTGAAAAGTTCATCCTTGTAAATGATTTCCTATGATTTAGTTTAAAGCGCTCTACAAGAATCCCGGGGGCACTGTCCCTAGCTGACCTGTAAGTCATAAGTCCATTAGAGATTTATTCACACAACTATAGGAAGACTAGGGTCAGAAGCAATCTCTAGAAGTCTCTCGTCCAATCTCCTGCTCACAGCAGGGATAACTCCAAGGTTACAGTGTGTTGCTCAAGGACTTGTACAGCCACGTCCTGAAAATCTCCCAACACTGAGACATCACTATGCCTCTGGGTACCCGTCTGAGACCTCTACACTTCATTCTCATGGGGGAGGATATTTTTTTTTTCTTAATATTGATTCAGAATTTCCTGTGTTACAGCTTGTGACCGTGACCACTGCCTCTTGGTCTTTCACAATGCACTAATTAGATTTAATATGGAAGCAGGGAACAAGCTAAGCAAACTTAAGGTTGCTTTAAGGGTGAGGGAACTCAATCACATACTAGATATCTAGGAGAAAAAAGGATTACATTTTTTTTGCCAGAGATTAACCTACCGTGCATACTGGGGTCCTGTGGAATCATACCACTGGCTGGAAGCAGTGATGTCTTCATCCCGTATTGTCCCTTCGTGCATACCCAAAGGGTAACGGCATATAGCTGAAAATGGGAAAAAGCAAGTAAAAAAATCAATACCAATTCCTTCTAAATCACCAGACAAGTTTAATTAAAAGGCTATCAATGCCTAGGGAATAAACATGGTAATGATAAAATAGAGAATGCAAATAAAGAGGATGAAATAATTACCATAAACTAAGTAACGAAATACACTCAGAGTTAGTATCATTCAGCAGAGTCCTGGCAAGGCAAAAAACTTTACACAGAAACATTTTAAGAACATGAAAGCCAAAACCATACTAGCGTTAGTGGTTGCAGGGACCTATTTTACAATGAAAAATTATTTATCAATAATGATGTGACATAAAAAGGAAGAATTTGTTAAAGATTTTTCTTCTAATTCTGGAATAAACTGGATGCTTGATTTGCATTCAAATAAGAACAATTATTATTTTCACCAGTCCAGTAACAAGAAGTTAAACAGCTTCTATTACAGATGACTAGACTAGCTTATGGGAACATCTGCTCCGTCGTGTCACTGCAGGTTAGAGCTTACATCTGAGCCCAAGCCCCTGGCCATCCACACTGCCCCATCCCGGTCTGCTCCCTGCCTCTAGCCTCAAGCAGAGCAAGCATTTCTCTCCAGGCATGAGAAGACTCTCAAACTTGGTGCCTCCAGGGAGTACAGACACAACTTGCTCAAGCCATGGAGCTCTACAAGCTCAATACACCCAAGACAGTGCAGATGTAGCTTACAAATCCAAGCTGGCAAAGCTCTCTCCCCTGACACAAGTTTTTAAACATGTCTTGGAATATCAGAGATGTTTCAGAAAACTCAGAGTCTTAATGTATTCATTAAGGCTCAGTATTCAAAACAGGCAAGCAAGATATTTTTGTCAGACTGACATCAACAGCAGATTAAAGTTACATGGGATTAAATCATGACCCAACTAAAGGACAAAAATGGTCATAGAATCATTAAGGTTGGAAAAGACCCTTAAGATCATTGAGACCAACTGTTAACCTATCACTGCCAAGGCCACCACTAAACCATGTCCCTCAGCACCACATCTCCCCGGCTTTTAAATACCCCCAGGGGTGGGGACTCAGCCCCTGCCCTGGGCAGCCTGGGCCAGGGCCTGACAGCCCTCTCAGTGAAGAAGTTTTTCCTAATATCCAACCCAAACCTGCCCTGGCGCAGCTTGAGGCCGTTCCCTCTCGTCCCATCGCTTGTTCCTTGGGAGAAGAGACCGACCCCCCCACCTCGCTAGCCTCCTTTCAGGCAGTTGCAGAGAGCGATGAGGGCTCCCCTCAGCCTCCTCTTCTCCAAACTAAACAACCCCAGCTCCCTCAGCCGCTCCTCGTAAGACTTGTGCTCTAGACCCTTCCCCAGCCTCGCTGCCCTTCTTTGGACACGCTCCAGCACCTCAATGGCAAGTCCCAGGAAAAAAGGAAACGGACTTTCCTAGAGCTCTTTGGTCTTTGTCCTCTGAGCAGCCCCATCACAACAGCCCGAGCTCCCCCCGTCCACAGAGACACAGGCAAGGGCCAGCACACGCTCCGGAGCTCCGGAGCGGCATGCACGGCGGCTGGCACCCCCCGCTGCGCTGCCTGCTGCCCCGTCAGCGGTTCTGCCTGCCCTTCCCTCAGCAAGGGCACTGCCTCGGGCGTCCCCCTCATTTCTGTACCTCAGGACTGCCACCCTTGTACCAAACTTGGATAAAGCTGTAAACCAGGTTCAGAAGCTACAAGAAGAGAGAGGCACAAAACCCACCTTGCTGTTACCACCATACAGAATAAACAACCGCAGGCCGAATAACTACCTGACAGATTTCAGTGTAGAAACGTTTGCAAACAGAGGTTGTTTCAACAGGGTTTGGCTTCAGCTGTTGTCAGGCACAGCATCAATGAACGGGTAATGTTCCATATATTCCTAAACAATCTTGTAAAGGAGATGGGTGGTGAGGTGACAATGTTTGCTGATGATACCAGACTATTTAATATAGAAAAAAGCAAATTATGGGAATGCATACAAAACAAACTAGAAAACACCATTACACCCCTGTCTGTATTCATGTTCAGATGCCAGTCAGATATGGAATCGAGCTCTTCCTCCGTCCTTCTCCCATCAAAAGGCAGAGAAGACAACACAGGTGATGCAAAAGGAAAGATCAGCAGCCCCATCATTACAAAAGAGATTGCTGCAGTGAAGTATGACAAAGATCATTTATATCCTGAACAATTACTCATTATCTCTCAAAATACCAGAACCAGGAGGCATCAAAAGATCAGATGGCTGAGTTCAAAAACAACATATGCATCCTTAATCTGTTAAACACTCCGAATGCCAAAGGTTCACATGCGTTCAAAAATCAGCTAGACAAACTCACAGCTACCACAGGCAAATACACAAGCTCAGAAAGCTCCTCAGCAGCAGACTGCAGTGAGCCGAGAGCATACCCGGGGTAAAGCACTGCTGTGTGCTTGCCCAACTCTTCCAGAACCAGCAGGGATGGGGCCCTGCTGGAGTCAGGACCCCCAGCTGGATGGGCCTCTGGTCTCACCCAGAACATGCACTCACGTGTCCGAGGTTTCTTAAGAGGCCTGTTTACAGAAGAACTCACTGGGAGGCAGCTGGTGTCTGCCGGGGATCAGGCATGATGGTTGTGGGTGCTGAAAGCCAACCGAGGGCTCTAACCCTGCTCTGGTACCAAAAAGTAAGCTTAGATAACCAAACTAGCCTCACCTGTCTTCACTCTTGCCTGTTCCACCACAGACTGGTACAATCTGATCTACCACTGGAAAGCTAGTATGTTGCTGAACTATGGGTAAATATCTGAAGATTTTCCAGAAGGGTTGAGTCGTCATCTGAAAACAGAAAGCGTTTTTGTGTTTCTGCAGTGGGAGTCCTGTCTGGTCACACCTTATTTATTTAAAGGTCAAGTGCACAGTCTACAGCAATGCCAGACCGAGTGCTAGCTAGTTGTGAAGGACTGGGGGACCGGGACTTACTGCAATCCTGAACAAAACTCATTTGTTCACAAACCCAGGGCTGGCAGATGGAAGCCAGAGTAGCCCTGGCATTGAGGGATGCGCTCTGTGGGTGGCTGTGCCTCTCACCAAAACAAGCAGCATGAGGCTCTCACCAAAATGCACATCCTCTCGAGCAAAACCATCCCTGGGTTCTGTTTAGGTGCCACCAGGACTCCTGCTCAGACGTCCCTGACCCTTTACTACGCACCCAGGGACACACTCACCTGCCATGCAGACAGGATACATGGAGGCTCAGAAAAACGTCACAGCTCACCTCTGTTAATGAGGCCAAACAACTGATGCTGGGCCAAAGGACTGCACAGGATCCTTCCTACACAGGTCTGAAATCATTCACAAAGGAGCCCCTTTGGTTTAGAAGGCAATGCAGGAGGTGCTCCAGACCACTCCTGGAGCAGATCGGGAAGTCAAGACAATCAGTGGAGCCTGTGGGCATCACAACTGAGGAACACCAGCACCTATGGGTGTGCTGGAGTCTGGGTGGGAACCACAGGCCATGGCCCCTTGGGACAGAGAGGCAGCTGAGCAGCTGTGGGAGCTGAGAACGCAAAGCTGCTTGAAGAAGTCACAGGCAGAACCGAGAAGTGCGAGCAAAGCTACATGATTATTTCTTGCTGGAAAAGATGACTGCAGGAGGGTGGGACCACAGCCCTGTGCTCAGAGCCCACCCCACCTCCCGGGATCCTGTGGCGGGGGAAGCTATTCCTGCACCTTGGGGTGTGCTAACTTCTGCACTTACCACCACCAAGAGAGATCAGCGTGTGACTGACCCTCTAGCTGCCATCTTCCCTCTTTTCTTCCACTAGTTTTAACCAACAGAACCAGATGGCAGTTCAAAGCTGGACATGTTGGGGGGCGTACAGTGCCGGGCACTGCAACGGGGAGCAGAGGAGTGCCCGCTGAGCTCCCCCACAGGCTTCGCTTCACTTCTGGCTGGTTGCAGCACAACCTTAAACCTCTGCAGAGATCTACAGGCCAGAGCAGGGCCAGAGCCAGACACAGTCAAAGGGCTCCAACAAACAGAGCCAGAGCCAGAGCCAGCAGAGCAAACGAAGGCCCTCAGGGTAGCACTGCTGCCTCACCACACCTTCAGCCAAGCTGAAAAAGGATTAGACTCATTTATTTCACAGACTGTCTCCAGCTCAAATCACCTCATTATAGCAACTTTTGCAGAGTATTGCAGACCATTATCTTACTCATCTCCGTCATGATTATAACTTGCCAAATGCTGTAGGATAAGAGGTCATGCCCTCCACAGGGACTCAGAGGCTCGTATCCCTGTCTCCACCCTAGCTTTGTGCCAGGTAGGGTTTTCTACCTTTCCTTCCACACTGCTCTCTCCAGAACCTCTTTTGCTGGCTGGAGAGCTGTAGCTTATGCTTTTCGCTAACTGGTAATTTACTTTCCACAGTGAGAACTATATCTCTGAGCCAGGCTAGAGCCAGGTTTGTCCTGCAGGCCATGTGGTCAAATTGATGAAGAGCTAATCAGAGCTCAAAACAGGCCTGCTGAGAGCACAGACCCTCTGCCCTGGGTGGGCAGAGAAAGGAGTATATCCATGCGCCTGAGCCCTCCTGTGACTGTCAGGAGAGGTGTTTCACTCCAGTACAGCTGTCAAGTAAGACTGGCCAACTCAGTCCAGAGGAGGACATTCGGGGTCTATGTTAGTGATTACGTTTCCATGCATTCGTTATGTTTATATGCATTCACCATGAGAGGGCAAAGAAAGGCTGGGAACGAACATATGAAAGGTGGGAGATTAGAGTCCTCTCCCAGCCTGGCAGCTCCCTACCAGGGTTGACTTCGGTGCCAGATGGCTCAGGCAGTGAGGCCAACAGCAGCATGCAGAAGATCATGGTAGCAATCGCAGGCGCTGCGCAGGGTCAGATGGGCGCGAGTCCTTCAAAGACAGCAGCTGCCATCTACATTTCTGAAAGACAAAGCAAAGAGAGAAGATGAGAGTCCTCCAAAGACAGGACTCCTCTGTGCTGCAGACTTGCTATATTGTCCTTGCCTCGTGATGGGTTGGGCAATCTTCCATGCCTTCAAGAGGGTCTTGACCTCAGCCCTACTCTGACCCATCACCTGATCAGAGGCTTAGTGAAGAACTAATGATTGCCTGACTACCTATACCATCTCTAAAGCTATTAATGTAATTCAGCTTTTAGGGGCTCAGCTGCCATGACTACTGTGTGGACATACTCTCTTAACTGCTCTTAAACAAGTCCAATGCAAAGTAAATCTCTCCCCTATCGATTCTTCACTTTCCTTATTATATTAACAAGTACAACGAACCTGGATGGTCCAACCAGGCTCCCCAAGTGGGGCTTATCCACCCAATGCACACCACTATCTGCTCCAGCTGTCTACTCCAAGTAGCCAAGCGGGCACTCTGGAACTTGTCACACAACCTTAAGATAAATATCTAAAACAGGGCAAAAAATCTCTCCCTACATGTCCACATTGCTGCCAAAAAAGCATGTGCACTCACACATGCGAGCACACTTAATTTCCTGCTTGGAAACAAGGAAAATAGCAAAGGGCTTAAACGCTGGCAATTTCAGTGGAAAGCCATGATAACACCTAAAGGAACATGAGGTCAAATCAGCGAAGTTATGTGAATTCTTTCTGTCCACATTCACTACAAGGAGCCTCGGGAGGTTCCCATCCTGGAAGACAGCTTTACAGAAGGCAGGTTAGAGGCTCTGTCTCATATTGAAATGTCAGGCGAAAAGAAAACAGAACAAATCAATAAATGAAACGTTTACAGGACCAGAGGGTGTTTGCTCAAGAATCCTCAGAGCGGTAGTAAAAAGGCAAAATTGAATGTTAGGATTTGTTAGCAAAGAAGAGAGGATAAAAAAGGGACCATCACTATGCCGGTGCATACACACACGTAAGAACGACGGAGCATCAGATGCCATTAGCTCAGAGATTTGTAACAAAAGGCTGTATTTTTTCCACCCAACATAATTAAACTGTTCAAGTCTCAGCCGTGAGTTGCCGTGGATACCAGAACAGTTGGATATATTCACAACAGAGACACACACCACGGCTTCTTAAATCCAAAGGTAAAACCTTTGGCTCAGGAAATCCCCCAGCCGCAGATTGCTAGACGTCCAGAAGCTAAATCAGGGTTAGAATCACTGAGGCTTGCCCTGTTTTTATTCTCTTTCCTAAGGATTTGCTACTGGCCATTGTCCCTGCTGGATTCCGTCAGAAAAGATGGCTCTGAGCCTGAAAAACAACTAAGGGCCTTCTTGGGAAAAGAGCCAAATGCTCTTGCAGGAGGGGAAATGAATGATCGGTAGATGCTGCCTGGCGGTGCTGTGCCCAGCCATGCGACAGTGCAAGCAAACCCCAAAACGACCTTAAAATTGCCAGGCTTCAGCCTCAAAATTCCTGCTTCAGCCACCTCTTGTGCTCCGCATGAGCACCCTGGCCAAGGCTGGGAAGAGGGTGACCACAAGGTTCTATGATTTTGTGGCATCTTGGGTGGTGGGCGTGCAAAAGGAAAGCACTGGAGAGAAAAGGCAGCCCATATCTCAGCAGGAGGGCCTGGCAATCAGAAAAGAGGTTTTGACCAAGCACTGTCAAGCTGTGTGTGCATCCAAGGTCATCTTTCCCCCCTGAAATGGAGGGGGGTGATCTCTGATGCAAAACACACTCATTCCCACCATCCCAGGACAGACTGCAAGCACCATGGAGCAGAGCCTTCTTGTAGCCATGCGGAGGGAGATTTTGTAGAGACATTCTTGCAGCAGAGTTTGAAGACAGACCTGGTGGACATTAATCTGCGCAGATGATTTGCTAGGGTGCCCCAAAGGCTCCCACAGCAGGGCTCACAGCAGGAACCGCAGAGAGTTCAGCACTAGAAGAGGCTGCTCCCACAGGACGTGAGAAAGGAAAGTGTCGTGAACATTAAGGCTTTAACTTTAACCATGTTCCTTCAGGAGGTGATGGGAAACACAGCAGGGAGCTGTTTGGTGGTACTTGGGGTGCCCTGACCATGGCCCCGGTGTCTGCCCAGGTCAGCTGCACTATGTGGGTGTAGCCTGGGCTAGCGAAGATCCTTCCGCTGGGTCCCCGTGCTGGACCAGCCACTGAACAGAGTGGCATGTTGCTGAGAAGACCCTGGCAGGAGAACAGCAGCTTGGAGATACCTCCCAGGTGACTTCTGAGCTAGAGGTTTAAAAGCTGCCAGCTGTACTGGAGCCCTCAGATGGCAGAAGACAAGCCCACATACGTTCCATGCCCTCATCACCCCCTTCGGAGCCTAGAAACAGATCCTGGCAAACAGGCTGTAAAGACACAGCCTAGCACCCACCAAAACACCCTGGGACTTCCCTCTGCAACACGGCCAGGATTAAGGGAAAGGGTGGCCAGAGCGCACTGAAATAGCAATCGTACATGGCTAGGTGAGGACCAGAGCCTGCTGTTGAAGCAAAAGAGAAATGAGAGCAACCCCAGACATCACTGTAAGCGTTCAGATGCCTCAGCTTCCCATTTGATGCAACAGCCCAGCAAAGAAGCATCAACAGCAGGCAGGCAGATGCCCAGGCAGGAGCCCAGGGACGAAGGAGCACCCATCCCCTGCCATCGGCACAGATCCCCCAGCCCAGCTGGGATCAGCTGCCACCCCAAGTCAAAGGTATTAAGCTGAAACTTCACATAAGGATTTTGGCTTTTGACAACAGAGCAGTTGTGCTAAGTTTCTCTCATCCTCTCAAAATGATGGGCGAGCAAGTCATGACAACAGCCGCCAATGTTACAATGCACAACGTAACACAAACAGCAACGCTATCTCATTTGACCAGGTACAGACCAAACACCGTAATTTAAGTGTTCATTTGCTCTATGCAAAGCTCACGCCATGTTCTAAATCACACCTATTGTATTGCCACATAGCCAGTCACATCATTTAACCGCTTGAATGGGGCAATCAATGTAAAAGATAATCTGAGGGAAGAAGGAATGGGGTGGAGGGTGGACAAGGAAAGTCACACGAACGCCCGAGCACCACGTCAGCTCCTGCCACTGAGCCAGCCACCAGCGCGGGAGGAAAGGCGTGGGCTGGGGTGGCTCAGGCGGTTGTCTGTCCCACCCTATCCTGCAGCTGCACCCTGTGAACCGGGGGCTTCCCAGGACTTGATGGGTATGTGGAGCTCAGCAGGGCACACAAAAACAGCGTGGCTTAGGGGAACTGCAAGCCAAAACTGGAAGATGTGGCCATAGAGGCCAGCCTGGCCTCCAGGAGAGAAAAGGAGACCTTCAGAGCTAGCTCTAGAGCTCGCCTGTCTGCAGCCCTGTGCCTACGAAAGCTGGCTTTGAATTTGGCCCTTGCCTAAAGAGTGTCCAAGATGAGGAGGATGAATCCTCTCAGGATGTGTCTATCTCCAGTGATGACAAAAGGAACCTAAACGGCTGGCCTGGACCAGCCTCGTCAGTCCCAGGCGGCCACAGCTTGGTGAGACAAAGCCTCACCTTTGTATGTGGCAGCGATGAACCATTTCCAGCAGTTCAGCCCTACGCAGGGACCCCAGCAGCCGCGTTCAGGCTGTGCTGGGTTTGCTCTTCCCACCACACTTGGTTCCCAGTCCCGGACCACCAAAGGGCACGTTTGGGAGTCCCGGGAGAGGTGCTGCACACAGGGAGCAAACTGTCACTTTTCTAGGGCTCCACAGCAGCCGCTGTTCTCCCGAGCAAGGACACCAAGAGTGTTTTTCACTCCCGTCTCGTAATTCAGAGGAGCCTCAGCTCCACTCAGGAGCTCGTACTGCCAGAAAGCGCTGTTTGAAGAACTACGGATGCTGCTTTCTGCTGGGTCGAAATCTCAGCTAGTAGTAGACTGGATTCCCAAATTGCACACTTCCAAGTGCTAGAACACACTGGAATATACTACTAAATACAAGCCTCTGTACAAACTGCTTGGAAATCATCTTCCTAATGATTTTTTTCTGGGTAGACGACTTGATACTTTTTTTTGTAGCTCTTTCAGATGCATTACAGTCCCTTGCTGTACTCATGCCTTTCTTCCTGACCTGCCCACACATACACAGCAAGTGCCAAAACTACAGCACAAGCCCGAAACCAGCAAAAACAGGATTAGCAACATCCTCACAGAGGCAAGAAAGTGTTAAACTCTGTTCTCAGGACTGAATGGATCAAGTTGCTAATTGCTAACAGCTGGCTGCAGGAGAATAAAATCCTGTTACAATCATTGTGAGAGTGGAAAAAAAAAAATCTACTTGCTGAAAAACTCACTAAGAAATGCAAAAGAGGGCAGTTTTTCCCAACATACCCAGCAGATACCATGTCTAAAAAGCCAATCCATCCCTCTGCAGAGAAACAGCTCGCTGTGACCCAGCGCCGTCCCCAGCGCAGCATGGGGCCTGCAAGCAAAAGCGCTGGGCACAGTGGGCGCAGGAGGGAGCTATTCTCTAGTGACGTGCATGAAGAAGGTGGGACTTGGAGCTCCTCCAGGTACTGTTCTCCCTCCAGAGATCCATTACGGAGGTCTGGCATGTTTGCAAGCCTCTCTAGATCCCAACTGAAACAGGCATTTGTTTTAACTGGTTCCTTTGCAGATCATTACCTCGGAGTGGGACCTTAGGGTTTGCTGCAGGAATCCCATTACAGACACCCAGCACTGTGCCAAGACACTCCACGGTCATGGTGAAGGCTCATAGCTGTGTGTATGATGCACTCTGTATGTATTAGAACAGGATCTATCCTAAATTAAAGTATCCTCAGAAGAGGTTCAGGAACAGTCAGGAGGACTGGACGGTATCTCCTAGCATTCCTAGAGGAATTCAAGGAGGAAACAGCAAAGCTGCTAATTGGGACAATATCTGAAGCCTGCAGAAATATAGGCTGGAAAGTGTGATTTCCATTTTTCTGGCTCCAGAATGACGGTGGAACATTTCTCTTTGTCTCAGAATTA